GACTTTTCTAAGATGACACAGCAAATCTTTTCTAAGATGACACAGCAAATGGCTGTGAACTCCAGTCCTGCCTCTGACTCGCTGGAGTGGTCTCTGTGCCATATCCCAGCTGTGTAACATGTAGCACCACCCATTTCCTGCTGGCATTATCATTCAAATTCATGGGTTCTTCATTATCTGTGCTCAAGCAAATAGGGGCTTATGTCCCCCACACACACCCCAAAAGGAAAGTGGGGGAGAATCATTGGTATAAAGGTTAAGTATCTACATTTTCCCAAATTTTCAGTTGGTTAATCATAGTTGGGGTTGAGTATTCAAATATGATACGACTGAGACCATTACCAAATATCCCACCCCTCCTGGTGGAAGGGTCGGGGACAGCGTGTGCATGCTCATGAATGGGTGAGAGAGAGACAGAGAGAGAGAGAGTGTGTGTGAAAGCAGTGGGGAAGGGGTTCAAGTCCATAGCCAGTGACTACCTGGCCAGTCTCAATGAACCAAAGAAAGAAAATGAGATCCCTACAAACCAAGAGATGAAGCGGTAATCTCAGACAACCAGGCTTTCAGATATACCAGACCAGGACACCAACACAGTGAGACAAAGGGCTGGTGGAAAAAGATGGGAGGTCCAGCAGGAGGTATGCAGATGGCAGGGAGGCACCGACGGATGAACACGGAGGAAATTTTCCAGATGCGAGTCTGGGCCCTGGAATCCCTTTTATGAGCAGACTCCCAGCAGTTCTCAGCTGGGAGGAGGACCTTGCAGAGGCAGGCCCAGGACGCTGACTCCTCCTGTATCTTGGTTCCTCTCCTTGTGCAATGATTGTCGCTCCTTTGTGTTTCAGAGTCTGGAGCTGGCAATCAGCATACCTGGGTTCTAGACTGAGCCCCAGCACTGACAATCCATGTGACTTCAGAAAGCTCATCTACTCCTAGTTTTTCCATAAAAATGAGAAGTAATCACCAACAGTACCCAACTCACAGAATGGCATTGGTGCAATATTAAATTAGGCAAGTCAAAGAAGCATTCTACACTCAGAAGTATGTCTGTACTCTGGCCTTGGTTATAATGTGGCCCAAGTCAAACCAGATGAGCTTACACAATTCTCTATGATAATAATGATAGTACTAACCCTTACACAGCACTTACTATGTTACCAGAACCTAATATGTCTGAGGTACTTAGAATAATCCTCAAAACAACCTACAGGATGGGTACTACCATTGTCCGCATTTTCAAAGGAAACCAAAATATAGAGATGTTAAGTGACTTGCCCAAGATCATGCAGAAAAGTGGCAGGTTTGGGGTAGAAGCTCAGAAAGTCTGCCTTCAGAGCCTGTTGTTCTTAACCACTATGTGATAGTCCCTCTTGCTAAAGGAATAAAGAAGCCAATGACCTGAGTTTCCAGGGTCTAATAACCTACAGCATTATTACAGACACACTTAACTGTGAGTCAAACCAAAGTGGAAAAATCTAGATTTTACATAGCAGGTGGGGTGAATAACCATTCTAACATATGCCAAAAAACAAACTAAAAAATAAATCAATAAATAAAGCAAAATTCACAAAATAATTCAAGATAAAACCTCATTTGGCAGCAAGCTTCCTAATATGTTTAAAGATTCGATTTACACAGAAGAGCTAATACGTTTTCAGGAGGTCAATAGTTACTTGTGTCTAGGGCTCCCTTTATCACAAATATGAAGTAAAATCTTAAGGAGACAAGAGGCCAATGCCAAGGTCCCCTGGGTAAAGAGATGGTTACAGAAATGAACGACGCCTCTTCATACACACACCCTGTACCGTCCCCTCCCATATTTGTTCTACAGTTGGTATGTGACTTGCTTTGGTCACGGGATATTAACATACATGGTATAAGGTGAACTTGAAAACTACTTGTACAATGGGGCTTGTGCTGTTAGAACACTCCTGCCATGTGAAGTGCCTTATGCTAGCCTGTTTGAGACAGGTAGTTTAGCCAGCACCCAGCACCAACTTCCAGACATATGAGTGAGGCCATCTTAGAGCATCTAGCCCAAGTTGAGCCTCCAGGTAGATGTGGCTGCATGAGTGGTCCAGGGTAAGACCAGCAAAAGAACCATCCTGCTGAGCCCTGGCCAAACATCTGATCCAAAGAACTGTAAACAGTTGTTGTTTTAAGCCACTAAGTCTTGGGGTGGATTATTATGTGGCAAAAGCTAATGTAAAGAGCCCACATCTAAGGCATTTCATGGAGTAGTAATAACAACATGGAACCTAGAAATTGCTGGAAAGCCTGCAACATTCTCACAATTAGGTAGGAGAGTCAGTTAGCTGAAAAAGTGGAGTCAGGAGTATTGGGTTGAGAAGACAGCATGTGTTGCCTTGTGTTACCTACCTTTCTCTGTGACTTCTGAGTTAAATAGATGTCGAAGTTGATTTTCACAATTGCATTAGTAGACCAGAGAAGAAAAAAAAAAGAAAGAAGTCTACTCAGAGTATTCACTGATAAGAAAATGTGCTACAACAGCATGGTGATATCGCCTGTCAGGTTTACAGCCACACAGTGTCTTTTGCTTCAGTCCCTCCTAGGCCATTACCATTACTCCCTTAACATTACTGCTACAGATTGGAGAAGCAGGTGCACAGAATAGGGAATGGACTCAACCAAAGACAAAGAAAACGTCTCAGCTCTCCAAAGCCAAGAGGCCTGCCTATCTCCGGGGACAGCAATACTGGGAATAAAACTGTCATTCAGTCCAATGTATTTCTTTAAAAATGAGAAACAGAGGCTCACAGAAGATAATGTGTCCAAGGCCATGCTGCTAAATATGATTAACCTGAGCCACGAACCAAAGTCCGTGGACTCTAATATTCCACTGGGACATAGGACATGGGCAAACATCTCATCTAAATTCTAGTCTAAAAATCCTTCTGTCCTTGATTGATTTGAGAATATTGGCCAGCTGATCATCTAAGACAGCCTAGAAAGCCATAAGACACGTTGACTACAATAATTTTTCAAACAGTGATTGGGAAACTTGGTTGACTAATGGATAGAAGAGGGGAAAATCCACCAAAATTTCATTGTGACAAAGTCTAAATTTACTTGTAGGCTTTTCCTTTTTACTTCTATCAAAGTACCAATTAATAATGACCACAGGAGCATATTTCTAATACTATGGTCTGAATGTTTGTGTCTCCCCTCAAATTCCTATGTTCAAATTCTAATCCCCAAAGCGATGGTATGTGGAGATGAAGCCTGTAGGAGGTAATTGGGTTATGAGGGTAGATCCCTCTGATGAGATTATTGCCCCTTTAAGAGACTTGAAAGAGCTTGCTTTCTCTCTCTGGTACATGATGATACAGTGAGCAAGTATCTTCACCAAGAACCCGACCATGCTGGCATTCTGATCTCAAACCTCCAGCCTCCAGACTGTGAGAAATAAATGTTTTTTGTTTAACCCACCTCACGCATGGTGTTGTGCCGTACCAGCAAGAGCTGACTGAGACAATATCTTAGAGGATAAAGAAAACATTAACTTACGGCTCGAAGTATAAACAGTAGTCAATACATACTTCTGCAAATCCCTCTTAAAGGCTAGCATATGCATATGTTCTAAACCTTACATGTATATGCGATTTTCTTTTACACTCTAGAGGAAAATGCCTCGGCTCCTTTTCTATTTCCAATTTACTGTATGAATGTGAACAAGTGATTTAACCACTCTGGGTCTCAGACGTTCCATCAACAAAACAAAGCCATTGGACTGCCGACTCTGAAGCAACACAGTAGAATGCGGACATTGGACTCTGGACACTACACAGCTGACAGCGAATCATCCGGGACCTAGCATCTTGTTAATGTCTGGCCATCTGCCTACACCTCACCTCTTTCCATGTCCAGATAAATGGAAAAGACACACGGTTCTCACAGGGCTTGGTAGGAATGAATAACGACACCCGTAAAGAACCCAGCGCCGCCTGAACCCAGGAGGCGGAGGTTGCAGTGAGCCGAGATCGCGCCATTGCACTCTAGCCTGGGTAACAAGAGTGAAACTCCGTCTCAAAAAAAAAAAAAAAAAAAAAAAAAAAAGCCAGAGCCATGCCTCATTCCTGGGAGTGCTCAATAAAAAACAGCTAATGCTAACGACGCACTCATCCCACAAATATTTATTGAGCTGGCACTTGGTGCCAGGCACCATGCTTTGTGTGAAGGACAGAAGAGGTAACCAAACCGAGGAAACTCCCTATCCCATCTAGTTGGCATTCTAGTGCCTGGTAATCCACCACGCTAACAGTGCAGGAGCTACGGGCCTTAGGTGCAGCAAGGGTTCCTTGATTCCATCCCCACTACGGAATCCAGAGCAGTCAGTCCCTGGAAATCTCACCCTAGGTTAGGTGAGGTTCTTGCCTCGTAGGGAAAGCCATACACTATCATGGGTCCTCTAGGCCTCTCTTTTCACTAGCCCAGCATGGTATCCACCAGTGAGGGCATAGCCAGGACTGGGCTTCACACGCCTCTGCCACCTTAGCTCCTTTCCCTCGCCAGAACTGCTCCCCAAGCCTGCACCAGAGCCTGCCAGAAACCTGGGAGGAGACAGTGTGCTTGGTGGCATTACCCGGGACTTCCCACCAGAGGTCGCCCTCTCACACAGGCCCAAGCAAACAGACCGGGCTTCGCCGCCTCTGCAGCGGTGACATTATTTTCTTTCTCTATTTTTATCTATTAAAAAGATTTCTTCACAGCCATAACTTAGATCTCTACACTGAAATGGAGCAACAGGAAGATATAATGGTGCGTTTCATTTATGAATGACCTATAATAAATTACTCTGAAGTGTCCCGAGTGCCAGAAGACAGAACGCTTTGTCTGCCCACGGACTGTATTTCACATACTTTAATTTAGCTGACACATAAAACTCATTTGACATTTTGCAGGTATTTGTGCAGGGCGGGGTGGGGGGACGACTGTGGGGCTGGGTGGGGAGTGGGGGCGGCAGGCAGAGGAAAGGATATTCGGTTCTTGTTGAGGGTTAAGGTATGCAGGCTGGGTAACCCTGGTAACACGAGGTCGTCCCCCAGCTGATTGTTGTCCAAGATGAGTTCCTCCAGGCTCCTGAATGCGCTCAGTCCTTCCAGTGACCTGCAATGACAAAGGCAACAGGAAAAATGATCCTGCACTAAATCAGGGAGGCCATTATGAACCGAAATAAATATTTTAACCTTCCCTTTCAGGACTGGGAATAGTTTGGGCTTGGTGCCTGTCAGCAAAGTGAATGACAAGAATTAGTAGCAGGAGTCGGGGCGGGGGCGGCGGGGGAGAAGGGGCCGCTGGCACCCACCGCATCCTTCACGCATTGCCAACATGAAGGATGAGGGTCACTTAGTGAGTAGCCAGGACCCAAAACAAAGGGCTTCAGATACGGCCTGCAGGATAAATTTGTCAATGTCTTGTGCCTTCAGGCACCCAGCCTCGGCTGACCCTAACCTCCATTCCCAAGATAAATAACTCTGTCACAGTTCACCTTCATTCCCTGGACACAAATTCAAGTTGTCATCCATCATTCCTGCCCAGAAATATCATACCCTCTTACAATAATAAATATAACTTCAAGTATCATTTCTTAGCGGTTCTCCTCCGTACAGTTGTGGGGGAAACGGCAGGGAAGGCTCCCTTTCTCTCTGTTCACATCCTTTGACTTTTTTTTTCTTTGCCTTTTTTCTTTACTAATCACTTAATTTGCTTCTGCCCAGCATCCCGGTGGCTGCCCAAAAGGCAAGACATCTGTGGAATTACATAATCACTCCGGCCTGAGAGGGCTTTTTCTTTTATTATTTCTTTTCATTTGTTTTTGCTACGGGTGGGGAGACAGGGGTTGTGGGGAATAGCTGCTTCAAAGCTCCTGGCTTGAGGTTACTGTTTTAATTTATGGAAAGTGGATTTCTCACTTAATTTTTGAAAGAAGTGTAGAGTGCAACCCTGTAGATGTTGAGGCAGTAAATAAAAAGGCAACTGAAGGAATTAAGTACCCGATTCCAGGAAAAAAAAAAAAATAGCAGAAAGGGAAAAATAACCTTGCTTATACACATCGCTGAAAGTTAACTCTTAATTTTATGGGCTCTCATGAGTGTTGGGGGTGGAGGCGACACCGGGCAGTTTTGCACAAGTGCCTGCTGGGCGTACACAGACATTAATTAAAGCAGGCCGGCCAGCGGAGGGGCTTACACAGAGACACAGACTCCCGGCTCGTTCACCTGCCAGACCCGAGAGATGTGCTGAGCCTGCACAGGCTGACAGCTGAGCTACGATGTGGACTGGAAGGAGACTCGTATGGGATGCCTAGCTATTCTATAAAATGTGACGAATCAGGGAGATGTCGTCCACACTATTTATTCGTTTACTGATACAGCTTCCATGAGAGCCCCGTGTGCTTTGTGTGCAATGTCCGCACATCTGCTGCGAGTGTGAACTTCAGCATCGGAGCTTTCCCAAGGCATCCACAGCTCCCTTGTGGGATCTCTGCCAAGAGGACTCTGAAATGCAGAGTCAATACTTGCAAGGTGTAAAATGTGCTGTAAATAAATTAAATCTGTAGATTCCACTGGGCCCAGAGCTCTGCCTGCACGTTCCATTCCTGTCAGACCTCGGGGTGGTCCCACCCAGGACTCGCCGACCAGAGCACGCCTGCTCCTCCAACCAACACTACCAGCCCCGCCACTGGAGGACACATTTTGGAGTAGGGGTCCGGAGATTACCGGGTTTCATTTCCTCCTCCTTTCTCTTTTTCCTCATGTTCCTAGAGGCAAAACACAACTTACGAGGATAATTGCTTGAAGGACCAGATACCCCATTGATCCTGATGTGATGATTACACATTGCATGCCTGTATCAAAATATCTCATGTGACCCATAAATATATACACCTGCTATGTACCCACAAAAAACAAAAACAACAAAATAAAAAAAAAAAAAACACCACAACTTACGCACATCTAGGCAGGAAGGTTTGGGACTTTCCCTCCGCTCCTCCATTTCCTGTTGTGTGAATACAGGCGTGTCAATAGCCCATCTCAGCTCTCCTGTTCTGTGTTCCTTCCGGCTCACAGGATCTTGTAGAAAATAAGTGAAGGACCACTAACTAGTTACTAGCATGTTTGTTTTTGCTGTTCCTTCCTCCTTTTATTCACTGCTTTTTTTTTTTTTTTTTTTTTTTTTTTTTTTTCCTGAAGTCCTGACCCTGGGGGTGTGTCTGGAATGCAGGGGACCGGCCGTGAACAAACCCACGGAGGAGGCATACACCAAGTCAGGCTTCTGCCGGGAACTTTTGGGCTCCTCTGAAGTCCCTTCCTCCACTAGGAGTTAGTGAGTGATGTGCCAAAAGGCTTCTCAGAACTGTGCCCCTTTACCTCTAGGAGAGGTGAGGCCACTTCCCCTTAGGGAGCTTTACGGGTGGCGAATAAGTCCTTTGTGCATAAACATCAGTTGGGCTCTGCTCAAAAGCAGCATCCAAATACACATTGCTCCTGACTTATGTTATGCAAATATTAGACTCTTCTGATGAGAATCAGCAAATGGTTGGCGACTGGCAAGAAGACAGCTCCTTTCCAACAGTGCTTCAGGGATAAAGCAAAATGACACTGCACGAAGAGGGGGAGCACTCGGGAGCACTCAGGAGCACCAAGGCAATGCCCACCCCCACCCAGACAGCCTTTTTCCCCCCTGCAGCCTGGGTTCTGGGGCAGAACTCCACACCAGAGCGAGACCTCCCAGAAGAGCTGGGAAGATCAGTCTCCAATCCCCTGTCACCTGTCTGGTTTTGAGACTCTTTCTGCCATGTGATGTTATTAGCTGCTCAGTAAAAAGAGAACCATATTACATGGGTGACTGCTAATGAATAAATCCCTGTTTTCATGTTATCAGTGTGGTGTGCTCCTGGGGATTTAAGCAGCTAGATCCAGAGCTCAGGGCTGGAGTACCGGAGGCAGGGGGTGGAGAGCATGGTGAATGGGGGTACTGGAGAGGACAGGTTTTGGGGGTCTCAGCTGGCAAGTGGATGATAACACACATACACCTGAAGGGAGGTGGTTTTACCTTTTACTTTACTTCTATTTTTTACTGTTATTTCTACTGCTGTTTTCTAGGGAGGAACAGGAGAAAATATATGTGTGTAGATCTTGGAGTTAATTCCCCTCCGTGCCAGATGCCTGCAAATATGTGCTGTTAAATAAAATAACAATTTGTCTGCTATCACCTTGTGTGTGGACAGCAAAATGCACCCCAAAACCAGATCCCCAGTGGAGAGGCCAACTGTCAGGCCAGCATCACTCGCCAGCTTCCTGGAGTAGTGTGATGTCTGAGGTGAGGGCTGGGGGCTGATAGGAGAGGGCAAGGTTTCACCCAGGACCTAGGCACAGACAGCTGGAGGGAGATTGTCCAGGTCTGGATTGGTCTGGAAACTTAAGCAGCACCCACCCTCCCCACCACTCCCGGAGCTCCCTGCAGGGTGCCTGCCTCCCCCTCCACCAGCAGCAATGCAGCCAGGATCTCATGCACAGGTACCATCCTCTCACCTCCTTCCCTCACTCCCAGGGCTCTGCCCGGGCTCCCCCAGGAGCTGCAGCAGCTGCTGGGAGCATGCCAGTGCCTTTTCCAAAGTCACATCAAAATGACAAAACATCACAACGCATTGGGCTCCAGTGGATTCAAACCGAGAGAACTTTTAAGTTTCCACTGTAATTAACCCTATCCTCGTTAAGATAATTATGATCAAGCTTCCTGTCAGAGTTAATATCCCAGCATCATCGCCTGTGGCTCACACTCTGCCCTCATTAGCTTATGGAAACAGCAGCACTGAACAGGCGTGCAGCCCTGCCCAGACCAGGCCAGTGGCTGGCGAGGAGGGGCCTCGGGTGGGGGGCCAGGGGCCCCACAGAAGGGCCGCCCATTGAGCCCCAGTCCCTTCTGCTCCTGGGTGGGCACAAATCAGTGACCTTCATCCTTTCCCTGCAAATGAGTCACTCACCAGAATGGAAGGGAAAAGCCAGGGCCCAGGTAGGGCTGGTCGGCTTGGGCAGGAGCTTCTGATTTGTAGCCATTCCTCCTGTCCCTTGCCCAGCCAAAAACCAGCCAGAACATTGTACCATAAAAACCACCAGAGGACACTTCCAGAACTCCTGGATCAATTCTTGGATCTAGGCTGTGCTAAGAATTCCATCTCTCCTCCCTCAGCTTCAGCCGAAACCGGGGGTGACAGACTGTGCTGGTATGAGCTGGGCAGTGAACAGGGGGAACAGCTGACCATAGGCCCTAAGACAAAAATGTCTGTCTCTGTGGAACTGTATTTGGCCTCAAATCCAGGAGCAAAGGCTGGGACGTTCTCTAACCAATCAAGAAAGCAAGATCTCCACTAAGATCTTTACCCACCTCCTCGATTCTGTCTAAGTATCACTGCCCATATTTTTAACTGAGGAAATGGGCAGGTCTTGGAAGTCCTAGAGGGTCTAACCTGGGTCTGACGTCTACCACCCTGGCCAGGCCCCCAGACCTGCAAGGGCCGGCTGCTGCCTGTTCTGTATGGGTCTCTCTGATGATTTCTGTCTGGCCAGTGCCCTCTAAGAAGGGAACTCCATGTAGCCTTCACACTCCTAGAAAGCTGTTAAGTGCACAGTGAGGGTCAGTACTGCCTCACCTACTGAGCACTGTTCAGCCACAACCTGGGATAATGAAGAGAGAAAAGAGAGAATTGGTGAGGTGTAATGTGACCGCTCATATCCCACTAAATGGTCCAGTGGCAGCACAGACATTTTTACACCTATTCATTTTTATAGTCTGTTTACCTTGTCCTGTAAGAGATATTCTTTTTTTCCATAAAACTCTTTTTATGTCCTTAAATGTATGGACAAAGACAGACATAGGTATGTAACACTATATATTACTATATATATTATCCTTGTTATATATTACCATATATAGTATATAGAGTTGGCTGTGTATCTTTTTCTGCCATTCAAGTCACATAGCCATGTATATACACACACAAATGATCACATAAATCAATACTCTAAGTGTATCAAGATGAGTAGAGATGACTTTAAGAAATAGAAGAACATGACAAAGGTTCTGGCTATGTGAGACAGAGTGTA